ATAAATACATTTAAATACATTTACAAATTCTGTAATGATTCCCCCAGGCCTACAGAGTAAAGTCCCAAGTCATAGGATCCCCTCCATGACCAACATTCTTTTCAAACCTTCTCTCTAGCTATTCCCCTTGTGTGTGTCCACATGACTCACTCTGGATTTTTTGCAGCTTCCTGAAAAGGACAGCAGGTCCAGCAGCTGGATGACAAATGTAATTTTTAAATGAATGAATGAATTTTAGGGGTTGATAATACTTACCCTGCAGTGCTTCTGTGAGCATTAAATAAAAGAATACGTGTGCAGTTCTTAGCACAATTCCTGAAGCATTGCAGACACTCATCATACATTAGTTCCCTCCTCTTTTCCCCATTCCACCATATATGAATGCGCTTATGAAAACTCTGCACATTATTATAATACTATAGCTGAAGTCATTTTCTGGGAGGTATTGCCTATCAATCTCACTATTAGGCAGAGTTTACTCCCAAAAGACACTTTGGCTTGTCTTTGATTCCCAAGAATACAGATCTTGACACAAATTTGACTTTCTTGGGCAAGCTGTCCCAGCCAAACCCATACTTTCAAGTTTAAGTCAGATCCTTCCCAGATCCCTTGGAAACATCACCATATACCCATTATTTGATAAAGGGATAAAGAACGGCTGCAGATAAGGAAAGACATTTCTCAGGGTCTGGTTTTACTTTACTTGGGCATTTTCGGTAGATGGGGTTGTTAGAAGGATCTGAGAGCTTTAGAACTGCAAGCTGCTGCTGCTACTGGCTGCTATCTTTCAAAATATTACCTTCTTACTCCAAAAATGCTTTCTTTCTCAAGCCAGATTTCACAAAGACCTTCCATCTGGTCTGTACTGATAACTAGAATCTTGAGATGCTCATTCCTTACAACTTAAAATGATCCATATGTAGAAGGATTGGGTTTTACAGCTTCCTCCAAAGGATTTTGTCTTCCGAATCCTACAACGCACGTGTTGAGAACTGGTGACCAGGAGACAGCTCTAACAACAAACCTATTACAAGTGTTCTGGTTATGTGCATTTTTCAGAACTAAAAGCACTGAAATCTATTAGGACAAAGACCACAGTGATCAGGTAATCCACAGGGGATGAAACAAACAAACAAACAATAAACTAAAAATGAAAAATAAAATCAGAATCAAACTGTATCAGAAACAGAATTCTCAAAGATTTTGCCAATTTGTTGTGATTCAGGAATATGCCAACTGACTGAACGATCTCTGTAAATTCTGGTTCTCAGTTTCTTAATCCACAAAATGTGGAAACAAATACCAAATTATAAAAAGGTGATGGGATATTGATGAAAGTCCTTTCATTCCTAGGAAGATAGACTTTGGAAGGATGACTGGCCCCAAGCTTTAGAGGCCCCAGTACTAGTTTTAGAAAATGACTCAGGGAGGAGAAAACAGGAGAAGTCAGATGCTGTAAAGAGCCACTGCCCCATTTCCCCCCCTTTTCTCTTCCCTCTCCAGCCATCTACCCCTCTCCTCACCCATACAGCATACTTATCTTCAGTGTTTCCCTGCAATTAATGTTCATATAATTTCCCATGCGTAAAAATGTGGGAGGTGGAGCATAAAGAAGCATAAAGCATAAGATGCCCAGATTCACCTCTGCCATGAGATGGCCTTGATAAAATGTGGTATGAACAGTAAATCCTTATTTGGTTGAAATTCACCACTTGAGCAGCCTCGAGCTTATTTTCTCATGTAAATAAGCCTACGGAAACAGAGGGGAAGCCCTCTCTATATTAAAATATTAGACTTAAATCTTGTACTTTTAAAGGACAGTATAGAAATAAAGTTCCAAGAAAGACTACAGAAACATGAAAAAAATGACACGTGTATACGGGTGAGGCGTGGAAATCAGATGCTTGATTAGTGCGAAGATAACCTAGCAGGTCAGGGCCTGAGGTTTTCTGCAAAGGGATCTACTTTCGATTTGAAGCCTTGAGATCCTGGTGGTGGTGGTGATTGGAGGGTGGTTTTGTTTTTTTTTTTTTTTTGCGGTACGCGGGCCTCTCACTGTTGTGGCCTCTCCCGTTGCGGAGCACAGGCTCCGGACGCGCAGGCTCCGCGGCCATGGCTCACGGGCCCAGCCGCTCCGCGGCATGTGGGATCTTCCCGGACCGGGGCACGAACCCGTGTCCCCTGCATCTGTAGGCGGACTCTCAACCACTGCGCCACCAGGGAAGCCCCTGGGGGGTGGTTTAATACGTCCATGGGGAGGTACTTGAGCCAGCTGGGGACAAGGTGCCACTAGAGACATGTTTCACTTCACTCTCCAGTAAGAATCTCATCAAACAGCAGGGAATGGAAACATATTGCAGTGTCATCTGGGCTAAAGATGTGTCCTGGATTTTTGTCTCTTCCTAGGTCCCATCTCTGAGAACCTTGGCTATTTTCCTCCAAAGAATAGAAATTTATTTACATGATTGATGCTGACCAGGCATCAATAAGAAGAAATGGGGAGCAGATGTTTCTGAATAGATACCAGAAAGGCTAACAAAAGTGATATCAGGGAGGGCTTCCCTGGTGGTGCAGTGGTTAAGAATCTGCCTGCCAATGCAGGGGACATGGGTTCCAGCTCTGGTCTGGGAAGATCCCACATGCCACGGAGGACCTAAGCCCATGTGCCACAACTACTGAGCCTGTGCTCTAGAGCCCGTGAGCCACAACTACTGAAGCCCATGCGCCACAACTACTGAAGCCCACGCCTCTAGAGCCCATGCTCCACAACAAGAGAAGCCACCACAATGAGAAGCCCGCACACCACAATGAAGAGTAGCCCCTGCTCACCGCAACTAGAGAAAGCCCGTGTGCAGCAGCGAAGACCCAGTGCAGCCAAAAATTAAATAAATGAATAAAATAAAATAAATTTAAAAAGTGATAGCAGGGAGAGTTGCAAAGGAGGTGATGGCTCATGTCTCAACATGTGCCTAAGGGCACGGTGTGCCAGGAGCACTGCTCTGGGAATATGCCCTGTGTAAAGTCACCATGGGCAGGAGAAGAGAAGAGAAGAAAACTTGAGTTTACTATGTTGATTTCCATGGAATTTTAAATTTGTCAGCTGGTGGACATAAATGGCCAATTTGAATACTTTTTACTATGAAAATAATCTGTGAAGTCTTCATCCCTGGAAATCTTCCCGAAAGGAACAATGACCACCTAAAGGAATGTTTGGGCATGCATAAACCATGATTCTGAGAATCTGAGTCTCAGCTACATTATTTTTTTGAACTCTTTTCCAGCTCTTTCCAGCTCATCATGAGATCTGCAGCAACCCTTGGGCTTTGACAGCCCATATCGGGTGATGATGACATGATATTAAGTTGTATCAACAACGATGAATCAGGATGTGAATGAGCTTCTCTGTATAGCTCTCTAGTGATGAAATACCTAGCAGAAGTACTTCTCCCACTTCTATGCAGCAAAACGGTTAGTAGTGGAGGTACTATGCAATTTTAGAAATAAGCAACATACTTTGCTTTAAACATGATTACAGAAATTGAGCTGAGCCCCATTTAGGAGGCCTGCTTCATTTTCACAGTTCTGTGGTCTGGGGGCTAAATTTCTGAAGGGAGGAAAAAGGCAGGCAGGCAGGCATATTTTCTGCATTTGCTAAGCTGCCCTCAGACACTTCTACTCAGTTATTTGTTGAAGACAGGATCATCTCATTGAATTCAGCATGTAAACAAGTACACCAGCAAGAGAAGAAAGGCTGGCTCCTAATCTCCTCTGTATTTCAAATATGTATTTCTAATATGTTCCCCATCGAAGAGACTGCACAGGCAACCAGACCCAGGCCCCTGCTTCCTGCCCCTTGAACAGGGTTAATTCAGGGAAGTCCCGGATTCACAAGACCACCCTGGGTGTTTAAGGTCATGCACATTGCACCTGAGTGTATAATTATGGCAAACATACATTGTGGAGCAATGTCAAGTTCAGATCTGAGCATATACTGCTTGGAGCTGGGAGTGAGAGAAAAATGGTAAGAGAACCCTGAATTATTTGGGGAAAAAAACCCTCCCCCAATCCATTTGACCATCTATTAGTCCCTCCCAGACTCTGGGAGATTTGGTGCAGGAAGCACGGAAGGACAATAAGGAAGGTTAGGAAGAAGCACCCTGGGAGGCTGACACCCTCTGCTTTATCCTTCTAACTCAAGGACAAGCAGGGTTAGGTTGAATACAAGGTCTTACCCCAAACTGGACGCAGATGGAAACACATAAAACTATATGATATTTTAATAACGCACAACCTTGATAGCCTGAGATAGAAGCAGGAACCACTTCCATTTAGCTTCAATTCCCTTTCATTTTCACTACGTAGGGGGCCAGTCTCTCACCTTGCAGTACTGGGTGGAAAATAGCTTAAGACTAAACTTCCCGTCTTCACTCGCATTTCCAAGCTTTATTTGGTAATTTAAGAAAACGAGTCAGCCCCGTCACCTCCCCACCTGGGTATTTTCTTTCTCAGGAGCGCATCACTGTTTTCTGACCGCTGGAGCAACCGTGCATTCCTTTCTAATCAAAGGTTTTTTCATCAGCGTTGGCTCTGCATTCCCCCTCGTCCTCCCGCGGTCCCCGCAGCATACCCGTCTCCTCCGGACTGCCACCCAAATTCCTTCCTCCAAGCACCCCTTTTCTACCTTTACTTAATTTTTACGCCGCCTCAAATCCTTCTGCAAGGAAGCCGTATAAAATTCTCAAAGCACAGTTCTACACAATGTCGACAGTTAGGTTCACACATCTGGGAGGCTGTTTGATCGAGAACCGTGTCCCGTGCTAAGAAGTCCAGAGGCAGGCACGGTGCCTGGGCGACCCCCGTAGTCGCCCTCCCCAGGCCCTAATCCCCGTCGCCTTTGAGCCTCAGACCGGGCAGAAATCCGCCAGCCCGAGCCCGAGCCTCTGCCTCGGGACGGGGTCAAGGGGAGGCCGAGGCCGTACCGGAAGGCGTGCGCTCCTCACCTGGTGGACGGTGCGCGCAGCCGGCGCGCACTGGGCAAACCCGGGCGTCCGGTGGTTCCAGAAGTCTCACTCCGAACCGCTCCTTTTCCTCTCGGGCTTTACCAAAGCGCCGCTTCTCACGGCACCCGGCTTCGCGGCGCTTCGAGCCCGGGCGCTGGCCCCTCGGGCGCCCTTTGCCCGCGCGGTGACCACGGGCTGCGGCGAGAAGGGGCCGGGAGCGCGGCGCGCAGGGCGGCAGGCGCTGCGTTCCGCCACGTCTGGGCGCCCCGACAGGAAGAGGAGGCGAGAGCGAGAGCGGGGAGGAGGAGACGGACCAGGAGAAGAGCGGGAGCGCGGGGCCGTCTGTTAAATCGACCGGTAGGTTGCAGCCGTCCAGGACACCCTTGAAAGGAGAAGGGGGTGGGTGGGATGAAGAGGTGGGGCGGGGTGCAGTGCGGGGGTGGTGGTGGACGAGAACAGGGGGCCGGAGCTCCGAGGTGCTTCAGGTCTTGCTTAGGCTGTAAAAGGGAAATTCTGGAGCTGACTGCGCCCCAGGGCTCCCAGTTGCCAACGCTAGAGGGCAGCGCTGCCCGCAATATAAACTTGGCCTAAGGGGAGGGGGGAGGAGTGGACGAGGGCCCTTCGCTGGCGGCGGGCCAGTGGCTGCTGGGAGAAGCAGACCCCGTTCCCCTCTCCTGTGGCCAACCTGGCTACGGGGGAGAGTGGGGCAGATTTGGACTTTGTCTCCTGCGGTTCCTCCAGGCAAACCCTCTGGAGGTGAATTATTCCTCAGCTTTCCTCAAGGGGAAAATTCCAGTCAACATCCACAGGATGTTTTATGGAGAGGGATGGGAAGAAGAGGGTAGGGAAGAAGCGGGGGGGGGGGGGGGGGGGG